AATCCATCACAAGGCAATTGAGTAAGAAACACCGGTAATTAGAATTCAATAATAACAACATGCATTTATGTACAATTAATATACAATTACAAAACTTGTGGTTTGATAATGCAAGAAATTGACCATATGTGAATTGGGTGTCTGATTGATTTACAGTTCAAAATTGTTCAAGTGTTTAAGAACTGGTCAAACAGAGTAAAAATGGAAAATATTATTTATACAGAAATTAGTGTAATTTGTATGCGTGAATAAAGTAGATTATAATTGTCTTAACTTTCCAGAGTTGTTTACCTTGGATTGTTCTGTATTTGTCTTTTGTTAAAATACAATTTCTATATTAGTAGTGTGTAAGAACAATTTTTTTAGAAAGTTTTAAGTGAAATGTGAGAGATTAATGTTGATGTTTGAGTCAGCAATTGACACGCGAAAAGTATCTTAAGTCAAAATAGTGACACACGTGGATTTGTGACATCTCTCCGAAGTTTAGTGATTGACGATATTCAGTCACCCCCCACACGAGGATGTCGTGTGGCAACTTATTTTTTAACGTGGGCATTCCGAGCCCGTGGGCTCGGCCAAAAATATGCCCATTGAACCCGTATGAACGGGTTCAGGGCCGGTCTACCTCCCCGAAGGAGACTCCGCCCTTCGGCATAGCCTCCTTCGGGTTCATCCCGTCCGTAGGAAGAGAGTACAACCGAACAGTCGCTCAGAAAGTACTGGGTCGACAGTTTAGTGACTGACGATATTCAGTCACCCCCCCCCCCACGAGGGTGTCATGTGGCACAAAGCTTTTTTAACGTGGGCATTTCTGAGCCATTAGGCTCGGCCAAAAAATAGCCCATTTGAACCTGTATAAACAGGTTCAGGGCCGGTTTTACCTCCCCAAAAGAGACTCCGCCCTTCGGCGTAGCCTCCTTCGGGTTCCTCCCGTCCGTAGACAGAGAGTTCAACCGAAGAGTCGCTCAGAAGGTACTGGGTCGACAGTTTAGTGACTGACTGGTGAATTGGCTCAAAATGGTCCTTTTTATTTGTTGTTGGAATCCAAAGTAGGCTCCAGTGAATTGGGTGCGAAAACAGTTTTTCGACAATTATTACATGTCTCGACCAGTAGGAAGTCGAGATTTGCAATCTGAGGTGTTGGTTGGTTAAAACTGATTCTGATGGAAGAGTGTATTTTATCTCGGGGGTGAGTATGAAATATGGACGATTCTATAAGCTGTTACAAGTATTTCCAAGAATATAAATCTTCCTGGAGCCGAGCCACAAGCTTAAACATGATCTATTTATTAGCAGTGGCGTGAGAGTTTCTGCTCTTGACTAGGATGTCATTGCCACACTAACCAAATCTGAAGAAGGTTAATGTAAACAATACGTGGCGACAATATGTGAGGGACAAATGGTGAATGTGTTGTTGTATAAGAAATTTTTTTTTTCTCAGAATTTTTTTTCCAATATTAAGGTGCGTCTTCCAAGCCGCAGCATCTTTTAAGCCTGAAAATACGGTACATGTAATATCATCCACAGAAACTATGATGTCAGTAAATTTATACCGAGCTTCGAACTGCTCCCTTGTTCTTTCATTTTCGTGTAAAATAATGTTACTTTTTCTCTTACATCACCCTGCTTCATGATCAACCTGATTACTGCCATGACTATTCGGCAATGTCATATATTCTTTGATCACGGCACAGTCTTCGGTTTATGAAGTTTTCTTTTCTAATCTGTATGTTCCGCAACGTTTTATGCACAGTTCTGATTTATCACCCATTTCAGAGGATACTGTATCTGATTTCGTTAAAATCTTTCTTGAACGATAGTTGAATAAGATTATCAATGTTCTCATATATCTGTCCGTATATTTTCCCATATTTTTGAGGTATCGCCCTTGATCTTCCTAATCTTTCTAATCTACCGATATCTCCCTGGGTATGACGATAAACTAAATCCGGCATCAAGGCCTCTGATCGGAAGATTGGAGATTTTGATGATACGAAGTGGTAGCACACAGATACGAAGTGGTTGCACCTACTAGGGTCTCATGTATAAGCAAATATTGAACCCTAAAATGGGATCAAACAATGACAAAATACATTTTTTAGTAAAAATACAAGCAATACATTTATGTAAAAAAAATTTACCTGGAATATATTTTTGTAAAAAAAAAAAAAAAATACCAGAAATACATTTCTGAACTAAATAAAATAATAAACTGACCTGCAATAGATTTTCGTAAAAAATAAAAAAAATACCAGCAATACATTTTTGTAAAACAATTAAAAAATGCCATGCAATACATTTTTGTAAAAAATAAAAAAATACCAGTAAAACATTTCTGAAATAAATAAAAAATATACTTACCTGTAATTGATTTTCGTAAAAATGAAAAAAAACTACCAGCAATAGATTTTTGTAAAAAATTACCAACAATATATTTTTGTAAAAGATAGAAATTACAAAACTCAAATGAAAATTAAATTTCGGCATTAAATGACCCATAAGCATTTTCTATACGGCTAAACAGACAAATAAATCTGTACATGTTTTATATATAAATGTTATTCTAAACAAGGATCAGTTTCATATGCCGAAAAGAAATTATGAGTACATATATATTATATCGCATCCCCTCCCAACTTTTTAGTAGATAATATATTCATGAAAAATTTTAAGATACCAACATTTGTACGTCTTTCTATTCATACATGTCTTTCATTCTTCCGTTCCTTGCCTCTTAATCTCCAGGCAGTGAACTCGAAAATGCGTCCTTCTTTCGTTTCAAAACTTTTTCCCGTCAATCGCTGTATTCATTTTCCTCCCACCTGATATTCTCTTTTCGTTTCTTTCGATTTACTCGACCCAATTTTTTTTTCGCATCTTCTTCCATCTCTTTCCATAGCATTCCTCACTTCCTGACCGATTAATAATATGACTTAGGCAATAATATACTTCCGACAGACATGGGCAGATAACTGCGTCAAGATCCGAGTCAGACGGTCAAACCATTTCTTTCATACAAACAAGCAGAATAAAAATCTAAATAGAATAGCGAATCATATTCTCCTAGCGTCAGTTCACACCGAAGGCCTTATTCTTTTCAATATATCTAAAATATGATTATGAACTATATTTTTAGTGAATGAAATTTCACCGAAATATATTAGTAAATTTCCATTTTCTCATTTGAATGCAAATTTTAAGCAAATTGGCCCAAAATCTGTAAATAAAAATGGCGTCAGATTAACTCACATTCTCTTTGATTTGTTTCTATAGACGCCATTTTTTTCTATAACTAATAATAATGATCTATATTTCTGGAAAGGGAAAAATTCAACGAAATTTACTGGAAAGTTTCACAGTTGTCATCTGAAATAAAGAAAATACTAACTTTTAATTGCTCTCAATACGAACAAAAATGTCAAATATGATTAATAAAGCACAATTTCATAGCTTATTACTTTATAAACACAGAATAGAATAACGTACACATACATAAAAACCATGAATAATATTCATTAATTTTGGTATTGTTTCAAAGTACATACATTATTTATAGATCTGTTAAAATTATATACTTTGATCAAAGAAGCAGTTATTACAATTATGAGTTCGATAACCATCGCTTCATAAATAAGATAATATAATTTCAAATATTTTGTCCATTGAAATTCTAGATATATTTGAATTTATAGACCGTTTAAATACAGAAGTCATCATAAAATAATTTTAAAAATTCGCTTATTTTGGTTAATACTCTTGTATTATACACGAGGTTTGTTTCCAAACAGAAAAGGAATTTAGTCTACGCAAAACAGACGACCGTTTCCAATTCATTCAAATTGTTTGTCTGTATTTAGGTTTGTGTTTGCGCGTGTATATTTTAATTAAATGCGAAATCTCGTGAAAGATATAATAAACAAAAGTAACCCGAGTGTTGGTTATCAATAATAGGTTTATAATCGGATGTAGGTGGGTCAAATACAGAGAGAGTCGGGAGTATGCTAACCTCAATAGGTGTTAACAAACGAAGACCTTACGACTGTCCGCTGTGGTCGTACTTAATAGGCAACCAGTCCGTCCATTATCGTGAATGGGGAAGTTGGGTTATATCATCACAACAGAAGATAATTCTATTTATTAACAAATGATTTCTGATAATATCAATAAAATCAAATAATTATCCGACTTGTTTAGGGTTGTAAAAAAATGGCCGGGTTTTCGTCAAGAAATTAGTCGTGTTAATTTCCCTCTAAATTTACTTGTCTTATGTTTACTTGAATTCAAATTTGTAGCCATTATTAATTAAAAAAATCTTATCAAATTAAACTACATTCATAACAAACTGGACATTTATTTTGTGGTGATCACTATCCC